TTAAAAACTATTGATTTAATGTAAGTGGCTATTGTTCGGGACAAACAATACTAAGGAAGGGGCAGTGTTATGACAGTGGTAGTCACGTGATGCTGGTAACTCCTCCTGGCAACTCTAGTCTTTTCTACGCTCCCTCTATTTTTGTATTTTAGCCCGGCAAATAAAGCGTAAAAAAGAAGTGATGGCATAGTTTGGCAGATAGACAGATAATTGAATCAAGTGAGCGGTAGTGACCTTAGTAAAGTACATGAACCGTTTTAAAGTGACTGTGGAAATTCTGTGTATTGCAAAGTTGTACTGAGAAAGAATAAACTAGTTTTATTTAAGAAAGGACTTGTATCTCTGAAGTTCTTCAGAAAGAATTTCTATGGGAAATTAACAAACAACCAGAGACATAACACTATGAAAAACTCAACTCAGATACAGACATATATATAAAAGGTTTATGATGTATTACAGGTTTACTCAGAACAATAAAAAAATTATTACTGGTCACTTTACTGACAACCAAATAATTTTGGTAATATACTTGCTACTAAAAATAACAAAACTTGTTACCTGTGCAGAAATTTCTGCCTTTCACCATTTTCCAACCAGTATGTTAACAGTTCAAATCCTATATAGAAGACTCCACAATTTACAGTTTGTACTACCTGAAAACAACCTCTCAGTGACCATAACTATATTTTCTCTATACATCAACATACTCTGAAAACCAAGGGTTAAGACCATAAGAGAATCTTTGAACACCAGGCCACATCTAGCTTTCTCCACACCTCCTGCCTTGTATCTTTAATGTACTGTGTCTTGGCCTTAAATTATTTCGTATTTAATGACAAATTCTGTCATTAAGTTAAAGACACAGTTATGGGAACTAAAATGGCTAAAAATATTTCTTTCTCAACCAAAAAAAAAGACCTTTAAAATCACTTTTCTGTGCTCATTTCATCTTTTATTATCTCCACACTTGACACACATAATTTAAATACTTTCTTCACTCAACTAAACAACTCTGTGAATTTTCTATTTCTATCTGAAATGGACATCTGACCACTTAATTTTACAAAAAACAACAACTTACAAACAACAATATTCATGGTTCTTCTCATATCACCCTCAACAAGACAAATGTAGTTAACTCTTTAGCCAAACATTAAGACTAAAGAGACTATGTGGACAACTCCATGGAATATTAGCCAGCAGATACTATCCCCAATAATAATAAATAGATAAATAAATAAATAAAAACAAAGACTTCAGACACTGACAGATTGATTATTTCAACAAAACATTGCAGAAGTATTGAAAACTCACAGATAACTATAAACATCTTTAAACTTTAAAAGACAGGCCCTTCTCTAAATTTCCCTTTAATAAGCCTTCTCTCTTCAGTTACTATCCTTTATCAAGGATATACTCAAAATCTAAATTTCTTTCACTATCAAACCCAAAATATAGGACCACAATCTTGCATTTTCTGTCAATATTGCATCTGTGACAAGACTAAGAACTCAAACTACATAAAACATCCTAGAAAAGGCAATAAAGTTATCATCAATTAAACTTTTAATTGTCAAACTTATATTGTACTTTTTCCAACTGTAATGCTTTCTTTATCAGAAAAACTGATCATACAACAGAATATTGTTACTTTTATTAGGCTTAAACAAACAAACCTTTTAACATACATAGAACACATAAATGGAATTTCTTTTTGTAACTAAAATACAAACTGGTTTTAAGTCTGGTACACAGAAAAATCAGTATGGAAGTCTTTTATTTCATCATGCCACAATACCATTGTGAGACATATTCTCTTCTTTCCACACTCTTCCTATTATAGTGCAATATTCCTGTATAAGCATATTACACATGCATGCTAATCAACCAACACTTTTTATTTTTCTCATTTAGCACTTTTGTTCTATCTGTCCACCATGAAGTTTTAAAAAAACAAAATCATTGATTTTTTACATACGTAAAGGCAAGACATGTGGCTAAGTAAAATTTGTAAGATTGGCATTTCTTTGAAAGTGATAAAAATTTTTACAAACATTTACCCATTTCTAAAGATATGCACTTACTTACAAGATGATGTATAACTTCTTTCTTCATTTTTCTTGACATCCAAAAAAACATTCTGCTCCTCTTCTGAAAAGAGCTCAACCTTCATATTTAATTCTTTCGTGGTTAAAGTAGATTATCACTTGCTGTTAGACTACAAAGGAATAGGGTAGTAATTAAAACTTGGATCCTTCTAAAGGTCAGCAAAAATTTTCATTAAATACAAATCTCAAAATTTACATTATTTTGACAACTTTCATACTTATTCATGAGCTTCATCTTCTTTACATCTTTATACTATAACTGTTACTGGTTATCAACTAACAATCCCTTAAAAGACGATGATTACTAGCATTAATCAAAATAATTTCTCCACAGCATATTTCATTAGTTTTAACAGAAGTACATAATATACTGTAAAAGTAATAAAGAAGAAACTAAAGCAAAAAAAGAAATCAGATATCCACAAAATAATTACCAATGACTACATAGGAAATATTGCAATGTTTAAAGATTGCCAAACACAGATTCAGCATGAAATATAATTTCAAAGGGAAAACAAAATTACAGTTCCTATGCACAAATTAACTGTCATAACCATGATAAAACTTACAAATATTAAAGTCCTTATTACTTAGAGTAAATGTTGATTGTTTTTGAGGCAGAAATCAAGTAGACACTCTCTCTCTCTCTTCACCTTGCATTTCGGAATTTTGAAAGGAAAGTTAGGTGACAATCCCAAGGGTTGTGTTGTCAAGTTATGACTTCTCATGTGAGGCCAGCTACTTCCTTGGAGATAAAAAAAAGAAAAGAAGAGAGTTCTGTTTATTCCACTGCATATGTCCTGGAGATTCTATATCTTTTGCTTTTCCTAGCTACACTATACGGCACTCTTGAAATTTTCATGGTTGCCATTTTGCACTTTCTAGTGCAAAGGAGGTTATCCTGCCACTACAGTTGTGCCAGATTTGATACATAGGGCTCTCCTGCAAGTCTTTTTACCTTTCTTGTTTAGTTTCACCTCCTTCATGGCTTGGCACATACATTCAGGTGATGGTTTTTACCATGTGGTTGCTTTGTTTTCTGCCAACCACCAAAATTTTATGCAGGCGAGTCAGTCTATTTGCAGTTAATTACTTTAAAAAATCTAGAGAAAAGCTTGCTTAATGGATTCTAGTCCCATCCTTGTGCTGCTTGTGGAAAGCTGAAATGTTACACCAGCCTTATTCAGAATATTGGTACTCTGCAAAACAATGAATGACCAACCAGCTTTGTCCCTATTTGTGATGTAGGAAGAACGTTTGTATCTTTGACTAAAGTTGATTTTCCACCAAGGTTTTTAACTAGGTGCTGAGATGATTTTTCTGCTTCATCCTCTGCTCATTCTCTACATTTTCTTTCTAGGTTGACTTACACAGATATCAGTTGTGCCAAATATCTATTCCATATGTGGGCATATCAGATTTGGTGGTGACCAATTTCTCAGTGGTAGCTGTATAGCATTTGTTAACCCATGAGTGTTTCCTGAGGCACCTTTTAGGTCATCCACTACTTGGTTGGTGTCGTTGTGGAAATGGAATGACTGAATTGAAAAGGACAGGCATTTGATGATCGAATGAATGATGATGTTTTGCAATTCTGATGAAGCCTGTGAGATGTAATAGAGCTTTGACAAAGATGGCTTAAGTACATTCTGTGATCAGTTTAAAATAGTATTTTGCATCTTGTTTAAACTTATCCAGCTGCTTAGTACTTATTCCAATCATTGGTAGTGCATAATCCATGATGGAAGTCAAAGTTCTTTTGATTACTCAATCAAAGAACATAAATGGGAAAATTAAATGTACAAAACTAATGATTTAGAGAATAACTAAATGAGCATACACTTGAACCATAAATAAACATGTGGTAAATAACGAATTGTGAAATTTGGAAATAAACAAACATAAAACTGGAAAAAGGCTTAGAACTTAGCTAATTAATAGTTGTAATGATAATTCTGTCCCATTTAAATGTAAATATTTTAGATTCAATAGTAAGTTTAGGGCTGAAGATGGTAGGGAAGACTATGGTATAATAGTCATTACTGAAAGTTGGTTAAATTTAGAGTCTAATCATACTAGGAGTTATTTTGAAATTATTTAATAGTGATAAAGTTTTTACAAGATGGGCGGGGTGGCTCTATGTACAAAGGAAGAGCTGCAGCCTGTTAGGACTGAAGAAATGAAAATAGTAAACGAGTACAACATAATTAAAGCTATGTAGCTTATAATCAGGGGTGTCAAGGGTTGGCATTTTTCAACTGGCATTTGTTGTAGGCCACCTGGTAAGAAAGATTGTAACAATGAAAAATTGTTTAATGAGACCACAGCTGTTACTAAAAAGGACATATACCATAATATTTATTTAGATATTTACACACTAACTCTCGTACTTTTAATTGCAGTCTTTTCATAACACATTTTTCAGTGTGCAGTCCACAAAACATTGCCCCTAATCTGAACAGTTGCACACAGGAAGGCAAATAGCTAGAAACAATCACTTTTATTTTAAACCTTATTATTATTAATTACTGTTTATCACTTTAATTTATTTATTTTTAAATCAGGTACTCAATGCAAATAACATGATTTCAATGTTACTTCTGCTTCTATTTTAATGCATAAAATGTTTGCCATAGCTTATGTCTCCAATAATATCCACAGTGTTCTTTCTGTTATAATTCCTAATTCAATGTAATGTGAATAACATTTATTTTCCCTATTGTACCCCAACTTCCATCCTTTTACTCTGACAATCAGTATGCCCTCTGTTCCACTTGATCCTGTTCTCTCAGTCTACGTTATTTTATTCATGACATTATTCAGAAATCTTATCAGTTTGGCCAAGGACAAGAGAAGTGGTCCACTGTGAACTGAAATACTGGCTATTATCGAATGATGATTTGGACAAAATTGATCTCCAATTTTGTGATGAGGATTAATGAGTGTGTCAGGTGCCAAATAATGTTGTCCCTATCTCAAAAGAAAAAAAAAAAAAAAAAAAGGATGAAAGTAACCAATGTAGTGTGTAACCCCCCCCCCTCTTTTTTACCAAATTTCTGGGAATTTTATTCACAAAAATATAATACCTAACAAATCAAGCTCTTTTGAAACGTCCACCTTTCAAATGTGCTCAGGTTGTAGAGTATCATATTTTTGTGTTAAGTTGATTTCTTGAACCTATATGTTTTCTAATATCATGATTTAAATTTTATTCATCACTTAAATTACCTTGGATGACAAGTTAAGAAAAAATATAGTTAACCAGGGCTGCAATTTTAGATTCTAGCTCAGATGTGTAAGTAAATCAAAGTTTTCAAGAAGTTTAGCTCTCTCTCTCTCCCCAGGTATGTAAATATGAAGTTTAAGAAGTTAGGATCCCCACCCCAGGCACATAAGTCAATAAATCAGAAGTTCTAAATGTTGAGTGTACAATTCATTTGCACAATGGGCTATATGCACTCTTATCCATCACACAGAATCAAACCTCGAGATTCAGTTTTGCTAGTTCATTAACAGTTAAACACTCCACTGACTCATCGGAAGACTTCTTATAACAGACTATTATTTCAATTAATTTTGGTTATTTGTTTAAATATTGTAATTTAATTGGATTTATTTATGTTTTACGTAGGTTATATAACTTTTATTAATCTCTTACTAGGCTAGGCTTAGCAATAATTGTTTGTACCATTACTTCTGTTACACCATTACTTTCAATATCTTGCAGCAAGTTTAAAACTCTTTATCTTCACCTATTTATATTAAGATATAATCTCTATTTGTTGATTAAAAAAAAAAGAAAAGAAAGAAAAACAAGGAAAAGATTGACTGCAATTCTTTAAAAGCAGCCTAGAAGCCCTTATGAAATACAGTAGACTGTAATTTTTCCATCACAGCCACAAGGCTTAATGTTTGTTAAGCCCACTATGAATTTTTAAATTATGCCTGGTCTGTTATAGAAGAGAAGAACCTACGATAGTGACTCTTAGTAGTGAATTATTTGAAACTTGGGTATATGAAAAAAAAAACAGGATGGCAAAAAGTAAAATGAAAGGAAGGGAAAAAAATGATAATCTAAATATTTTATAATGGTCCACAAGTTGTTGTTCCATTTTTATCTCCTTTAACTTTATTAATTTGTACTAATTTATCACATGAATAGATACAGATTTAGTTACACAGCTATAAGTGCAAATGTTCCAGTGTTTAGTTTAGGTTCTTTGCAGAGTTACCATCTATGTAGTTTTAGTATATGTCATCACTCAACATCTTACATCAAGTACAGTCGATTTTTTTACATATAGATTTACCATTTATTGGCGTAAGTACAGAATTACCACTTTATTAATTACAGATATCGTGTTAGAGTTAGCTTCAGTTTATCATCGTTCATGTACAGGACATAAATAAAGTTACAGTATGCAAGCATACTCAGCGTGTTTTCCACCTTTTTGTATTAAAAGAAATTTTAAAAAATTTAGGTCTGATTCAATTTTACTCAGTTCCACATAAATACATCGCTAGAAAACTGTTATTTTTAATATAGATACTTTCGTCCTTTTGTTGTTCTCTAGTAGACAATATTGTTATGATGTGTTCTATCATCAGGTGGGTTCTTTTATATTTTTTATTTGAAATAATGCAAAATCTAGATCATGCAACAATAATGAATTAATTTATTCAATAACATTTGCTACAATACAGGCTTTATTCACTTGTAAACCTACCTTCACAAACATTATTTCAAAGAAACACCAAAATTAAAGTATGCCTAACTTAATCATAAAAGTACCTGCAGAATATTCTCTCTAAACTATACATGACAAACATGCTAACTACTTGAATCATAGAAAAACATAGGAAATAACTCTTTAATTGTCTAACTCACTAACTGGCATCAAACTGAATAACTCATTATTACAGTGAATACTTCATTGAATGCTGATTCACTCACTATGGCATTTATATAATTCTTGCTACTTACTATATTGTTACGTCTCAGTTAATTAACAAACTTTTCCGTAACTTCGTTTCGACGAAACTTTAGCGACACAAGTCCTTACTTA